TTCCGTAATTGCCAACACGGGTTTCCATAATTGCTAACAGGGCATTCCATAATTGCCAACACGATTTTCCATGTATGCAACTAAGTGGTCCCCCCGTCCCTCGCTACGCGGGCGCAGCCCGTCGCCCGGAGGTGCCGTGGGAGCCAGATTTGTGAGGTTATTATTTGCCTTTTCCTTTGCTATCCTACCTCCCTTTTCCTCCTGCTCCTCCTCCTCCTTTTCCTCCTCCTCCTCCTGCTCCTCCTCCTCTTCCTCGTCCTCCTCCTCCTCCTCCTCCTCCTCCCTCCTCCTCCAAGCTCGTCCCGGACAAATTTTTCAAAAAGCTCTGAGATCTGGCGCCCTGGGTTGATTTCTGTCTAAATTGGTTTGGCATATGTGGTCGTTGTGGTTCTGGGCCTTCGGGATTTTCGTTTTTTACGCGTTCGAACCCCGGGAAACCGCTCGACGCGTTTTTTTTTCACACGTGTTGTGATAATCGAGCGCGGCGCCAATGAATCGGCCAATGAATCGTCTTCCTACGGATAATCCGCGAGAAGAGAACGACGACTGACGACGATAATGACGATGACAATGATTGCGACGACCACGACGGACGACGATGACGATAACGACAACGATACGACGACTGACGACGACGACAGACGACGACGACCGACGACGATTCAACGCAGATCATTCAATGTAAGCGATCCTTTGACGCAACAACCGGCGATTTTGCGACGCCCGCCACAACCACAATGCAATTGGTTTGTCGGCGGCGGTACGTACGCACGTATGAAAGAACATTATAGAACATTGCACTCGGGTTTTGCAGATACTCTTTCTGCACCGGGCCACGAAGGGTTCAAACCACGCGATAACAAATAAGGAGCAGTAGTATAACCTGCTGAGTAATTACAGTGCAAAAGCCACGGTATCCCGAAATGCTTTTTGGCAAGCACGGTTTGCGCCCTGCACATATCACCTGCCCCGCTCCAGTATTTGCGGATTCGCGCCGTGTCGTCGTATTTTTTTTTTTTTTTTTGAAATTCCGATGCGACTGACAATGGCATTGTGATGCCGGTTGAGGAGGTTGGCTGGTTATGGTACGCGATATGGTTCAGCCTGTCTTCGCCAAAATTGACCGCACCTTCGCCGCGCAGGCGAAAACTTTTTGTCGCGCGCGCCTAAATTCTTAACGATATTTCCACCAATATGCGCCCGCAAAGAGTAGGAGTTGGAAAAAAGAAATCAATGTCAAGAGCAACAAAGAATTAGAGGAAAAACAAAAATAGAATGGAAATAATAAAAAATATGAATAGAAAAAAATATAATCGTCGGGCAGGCCGGCACATTGTGCAACCGGAAACATACAGACCAATGCGGGCAAGATCAACGATTACCTTATATATGATATAACCTGTGGATTTCTTCGTTCGCAAATCGCTGCTGTCTGAAAGCGTTGCAAATGAACAAAACATCGTTAGAAATAGTACAGTGGGGTTTTCGTGTCCATGCGTTTTTTTTTTTTTTTTTTTTTTTTTTTTTTTTTTTCTTCTCTCGTGATATTCATAGAGAGATTAAATATGGAAACCCATGGTAATAATTGTGAAGGCCCGTGGGACTAATTAGTTTCCATTTAGGTTATGCAAACCCTTAGTGGTCACTATGGAAACCATAGTGGTTGCTATGGAAGCCGTGCTTGTAATTATGGAAAATTCGGGTGGTAAGTATATATATATGTATATATAATATATATATATTATATAATATATATTATATTATATATATATATATATTCGTGGTGATTTCGAAAAGAGGAGGTGAAGGTCTGGAAACCCGTGGTGGTAATTATGCCAACCCGCAGTGGAACTACCACGATATGGAAACCCGTGGTGGTAATTATGGCAACCCGTGGTGGTAATTATGGAATGCCATGGTGGTAACTATGGAAACCCGTGGTGGTAATGATGGACCGTGGTAGAAATTATGGAAACCCATAATGGTTGATATGGAAACCCGCAGTAATTATGGAAACACGTGGTGGCAATTATGAGTATGGAAACCCGTGTTGGCAATTATGGGAACCCGTGTTAGCGATTATGGAAACCCGTGTTCAATTATGGAAACCCGTGTTCACTGATGGAATCCCGCGTCTCCACCAAATATATATATTTATAACAATAATTTTCCCGCTTCAATGCGCATTTGAAATTCGTGAACACTTTTAATTATTAGTAGGCAGACTCCGACAAAAAATGAAACAAATGTACAATAATGCTGCAGAAACACATTAATGGTTCACGCCTTCCCGAACGCATCATAACATTACTACTCTCCCATACCGCGATTTTTTGTGCCGATCGAAACAATACAGATCACGAAATTATGCCGATCAGAAATTTCGTATTCAATGCTGTCGATCTGTAGTGGGCATTCGGCAATGGATTCGCATGCAAATCGTTTCCTATTCCCGTGCGCCTTCACGAACCGGGTTCCAACGTGATGCACATGTTGTGTACAACATGGTCAAAATTTGCATTTTGTATCATTCGAAGCCCACACATGATAAACAAGTGCTTGTAGAAACCATTTCAAGAATTGAAACTGGTATTCAAGTATTGAAATCGTTCTCCCGGAGTCAACCATTCGACTCGCTGAATGTGCATAAGCAATTCGGTGTACCACAAGGCATTATGCATCTTATCGGTCGTATGTAAGGTGGGCGAAAATTCAAAGTATCAGATGGCAAGTCACGCTCGGAAAGACAGAAACCATAAACCAACTATCTAGGATATCTCAAAGCTGCCCCGTCTCACACTTTTTGTTTGGCATGGCCACGACGAACGCGTCGGGTGGATGCTTGGGTGCGGCAGGCACGAGCACATGGAACATTTACTATTTTGCTGTACGCCGATAGTGATCAATGACACAACCAACATGTATCAAGCAAGTCGGACGCAATTGATCAAAGAATCGCGTGTGTGCCCATCCGCTAAGATATTCCACTTCAAGCCAAGACGTGACGTAATCGCGCATGGAAACACACATCCGTTAGCACAACTAGAAACATGTGATAATTATTCCAATCTGTCTTGCTGAATCCGGCTTGGTTCGCAAAAATTGAGCGTGGGCGCTTAGATGGCTGCCAGGCGCGATGCCTCTAGCGTATTTTGCGTATACCGCACGCTGATCCGAGGCCTCCAACATTAACCAAGTTGACGACGGTTTACCAGTGGCGTTCAATCACGCAACAAAAGCCCAAGGCTAACACTATACACGTGCATCACCACTTGATCTCAAATTCGCACTTCGACTGGTGTTTGACCGATGCGTTCACATATTCGGAATCCTACAAGAAGCTGCATGTTGCATTACTGATGTGTAGCCGGAAGAGCTTGACATCTGGAGGTCTACGCGATATGAGAAATTTCCTCTCTTGAGAATGCAGGTTCTCTTTCTCTATTGCCTTTCGACAACAGGTGGGCAGGTGCGACCGATGGCTCAAGACAAAACATGCATGACACTGTGCGCCGCCGAACATGATTTGTTCCTAACAATCGTTTTGAAGAGACAGCGCCCCGCGTCTCCTCCCCTCCTCGCCTCTCCTCTCCTCTCCCCCTTCCTCCCCCTCCTCCCTCCTCCCATCTCCTCCCGCCTCCCACCCATGCCTCAGCCCTCCGCATGTCAGCAAATTCGGCATACCCCTCACACGCTTCGTGGCCCCGTAGGGAGCTCCACCGAAGGCCCCAGAGGCAGCGCCCAGTGGCAGCACCAGCATGTGGTTCCACCTTCGATTTCGCCACACCCCTCACACGATCTGTGGCCCCATCCCGGTGCACACCTCGCCTCACACGTTTAGTGTACAGGGAGCCCCGCCGAAGGCCCCAATGGCAGCGCCCGCATGCAGCATGCAGTTCCACCCTCCAGTTTGGCACGCCCCTCACACGCTTCGTGGCCTCATAGAGCTTTATTGAAGGCCCCATTGTCAGTGCAACCATGCAATTCCACCCTCATTTCGGTACCACCGAAAGCACCAGTGGAAGCGCCCACATGCAGTTCCACTTCAATTTTGGCACTGCATGCTCTGTGGCCCCAAAAATGAGGAGCTCCACCCAAGGCCTCAGTGGCAGCGCCCGCGTGCAGTTCCACGCCCATTTCGGTGCATCCCTCACACGCTTCATGACCCCATAGGGAGCTCCACCGAAGGCCCCACTGGCAACGCCCGAATGGGGTTCCACCTTCGATTTCGGCAAACCCCTCACACTTTCTGTGGCCCGATAGGGCTACGCCTTCGGGAACCCCACCCAAGGCTCCAGGGGCAGCGTCCGCATGCGGTGCCACCCGCCATCTCGGCACACCTCTCACGCGTGTCGGGGCCCCATAAGGGAGCTCCACCGAAGGCCCAAGTTGCCCCTGTTGCTGGCCACCCTCCTTGATTTCACTACCCCCACGATGCTCGAAGGCCCCAGTGGCAGCGCCCGCATGGTGTCTCCGCCAGATTTCGGCACACCATTTACGCGCTTCGTGGCCTCATAAGGAGATCCACCGAAGACGATACTCACAACGACGGTACTCACAACTGCATATGGTTGGGCCCTTCGCCAGACTTTTTTTTGCTCTGGCGTTTGGCTTCAAAAATAATCCCGATCCCAGTTTCGGCAGGCCGCAGAGAGCAACTGCTCCTGGGAAGAATAACGGGCTCACCGGCCAAAGGGCCGTAGGCATGTTGCTGGGATAATCAAACAGAGGAAGAACTTGGGAGGAATCAGTGAATGAATCGAATCAGGGGCACAAGTCTCTGCTTGTCTTGCGCAATGCCCTAGGCGCAGTCTCAGCAAACCGATCATACTTTTTAATTATGGTCATGCCATGGGAGACGCTTATTTTGCTAAAGACCCCTCTGGGGTCTGAATAGATGGTGCCCGTGTGCCGATGCATCGCCGATGCATCGGCGACGCTGGCTCAGAGAAGCAATCTGTCTTTACATCGAGCCGCATCGCCGATGCATCGCTGCTGTGGCGGCACCCTCCGACCTCATTCGACCTGCCCACATCTGGGAGGCCTGGATCTGCGTAACTGGCTGCCCCTCGTGGCAGGGGAGAACGTCCTCTCCCTCCGCTGGCTCGCCCTTCTTCTTTCCCTCCCAGTCCTCCCCCCGCCGCCAGCTTTTGCGCTGCGCCAGCGCCTGTACACGTCGTGCGTTGGCACCTGCCCGCGCGAACCCGCGCCATGGCCGCCTCCAACGCCGCGCAGTGGCCCTCCGCGCGGGCGCCGATGCCTGCGGCAGGGCGCCGCCGCGGCTCTGGCGGCCCGTCGGGGGAGGCGCGCGGCGGCTCTTCCGCCGGCTGCTCCCGCGGCGGCGCCGCCGGCGCGGGCAGCTCCGCGCGCGCCCCGCCCTCGACGCCGGGCGCCGGGGACCCCCTGGGCGAGGCGGCCCCCGCGGCGGGCGCGGCGCGCTCCGTGGACATCAGGATGGCCCGGGTGCCCCCTGGCGAGCCCCTGGCCGCGGCGCCGAGGATCGCGGCGAGCACGCCCTCCTCGCGGGGCGCCGCGCGGCGCGCTGCGGCCGCCCCGGCGGCGCCGCCGCCCTGGGCGCCAGCGGCCGCGCCCGGGGCCTCCGAGCCGTGCGTCCACGGCGGGTCCGGCAGGCTGGCGGCGTCCGAGCCGAGGCGGTGGCCCGCCGCGGGGGGGGGCGTGGCGCAGGCCGCGCCGCGGCCCTCAGGGGGCCGCCGCGGCGGGCTGCGCACCAGGCGGTCGCAGCCGAGGGGCCGCCGGACCCTGTCTGGGCAGCCGCCAGGCCCTCGCGCCAGCAGCGGCGGGCTGGGCGCCGGGCCACCGCCGGGTCGGCCCCCAGCAGGGGCCTCCAGCGGAGGCGGGGCGGGCGCCAAGCCCCCCGAGCTCTCGCGGGCGGGAGCCCCGTGCGCCAGCCCGGACGTCGGGCCGCTGTCGGGCGAGCGCGGCCCGAGGAGGCTGCCCGCAAGATGCAGGCCGTGGTGCATCCCGTGCAAGCTGCGCTTGATGCGGGCGAACTCAGCCTCGGTCTCCTCCAAGAGCCTGGCCAGGCCGGAGAAGTCGTCGCAGGGCGAGCCCTGCCTGCATGTGTCTGCGGGCGGCGCCGCTCCGCTCGCGAGCAGATCCTGCAGCCACGGCGAGGCCTCTGTCGGCCGCACGGCGTCCGATGGCCACTCTCTGGTCGCGCAAGGGGAGCCTGTGACTGTGTGTGCCGCCCAGCTGCCCTCGGCCGTCCCAGCCCAGCAGGGTGCACCGCCGGCTCCGCTGCCCAGAGCGGGCGCTGGTGGCGCGAGCAGCGGCGCCAGGCCCGGCACAGAGAGGCCGGGAACCTGCAGCTGGAAGGTCGGCTGCGGCATGGCCGGGAGCTCTGGGTGCTGGACTGCGGGCGGCTGCAAGTGGCAGGGCGGCCATGCTCCTGGCGCCGAGTGGCCAGAGATTGCGGCGAGTGCGAGACCTGCCGGGTGCTCCGCGGAGGCGCGCCGCGCTGGCAGCTCTGGCTCGGCAGGCGGCAGCAGCTCGCCGGGTCGCTGCCAGGAGGAGCCGGGGGCCTCGTCCTGCTGCTCCAGGCTGGGGGGCCAGCTGGCCAGCACGCGAACGCCCTCCAGCTCCATGGGCAGGAAGAGCCCGCCCGCCTCGAGCCTTCGGACGCCCGAAATGGGCACGGGAAAAATGGGTACAATGCCCAACGACGAAACTGTTGTCCCAAACCAACAGCGGCCGCTGTTGGGCAGGCGGCCTTCTGTCTCAAGCGGACACAGCCGCGGCGGCGCGGACAGCGAGTCCCGTTCAAAATGAACAGGAACTGCTGTTGGGCATTGCGCCCATTCTTTCCGTACCCATTTCGCTCGTGCCTGAGCCAGCCGTCCCCGGTCTCGCGGCCGGCCACGACGGCGCCCCAGTGCACCACGTGGCCCGCGTCGTCGCGGTCGTCCAGCCGCTTCGAGCGCCTGCACGACAGGCCGGGCGTCGGCGCCCGCAGCAGGGTGTTGTCCGCCACGTACTTCGCGACGGCCTCCCCGGTGGCCCCCGGCCACGGCCGAGCGGCGGCGCGCGGCGAGGTGGTGCGGCCGTGGTGCGGCTGCGCGGCCACGGCCAGCGGCGCTGGGGCGGCGCCGCGCCCCCAGAGGTCCGGGGGGCACCACACCATCTCTCCGCGCCCCCCGGCCAGCCAGCTGCAGGCGCCCGTGCCCATGCGGCCCGCAGGGAGCCCCGGGGGGGGGGGACCTCGAGCGGCGACCATGGGCCATTGCCTTATCATGTTCCAACGTACTTAGACGAAGGAAGAAACATATAACTCTTGAACTTTTGGCGCTCCGCGCGGACTTCTTGGATCCGCGCCTGGGCCCCCCGGCGGCGCCTCCGCGCGCCAGGGAGGGGGGCCCAGCGCGAATCCAAGAAATCCGCGCAGAGCGCCAAAAGTTTATGTTATGTTTTTGTTTTTTTTCTCTTCTTTTTCCAAGACCCTCCTGTGTTGGGTACTCGTTTTGAAGAGAGCAGTGTGGTCTCCACCTCCTCCTCCTCCTCCTCCTCTCCTCCTCCCCTCTCCTCCACTCCTCCTTCTCTCCTGTTTCTCTTCTCTCGTGCCGCGTCGGGCTGCCATCTGCGAAACTGTCGGCACTTGCGTGGGCTCCTGGGAGGCCCAGCGGAGGTACGTCCCACGCGGATCACCATTATAGCTCGCGGTGCCATGGGGGGCCGCGATCTGGGAAACTGTCGGCACTTTCGTGGGCTCTGGTGAGGCCCAGCGGAGGTACGTCATACGCAGATTACCACTATAATTAGCTCGCGGTGCCATGGGGGGCTGCGATCTGCGAAGCTGTCGGCACTTTCGTGGGCTCTGGTGAGGCCCAGCGGAGGTACGTCATACGCAGATTACCACTATAATTAGCTCGCGGTGCCATGGGGGGCTGCGATCTGCGAAGCTGTCGGCACTTGCGTGGGCTCCTGGGAGGCCCAGCGGAGGTAATTACGTCCCACGCGGATCACCACTATAGCTTGCGGTGCCCTGGGGGGCTGCGATCTGCGAAACTGTCGGCACTTTCGTGGGCTCCGGTGAGGCCCAGCGGAGGTACGTCATACGCAGCTTACCACTGTAGCTCGCGGTGCCCTGGGGGGCTGCGATCTGCAGAGCTGTCGGCACTTTCGTGGGCTCCTGGGAGGCCCAGCGGAGGTACGTCATACGAAGATCACCACACACGCCCCGTGTGTGTCCATTTTGTATTTTTGCCGCTGCTCTTCTTGCTGCGCTCTTCTGAAATCACAGCTGGGTGCTCTTCTTGCGCACTGCGAGTCCTTCAAAATGCCAGTCAGCATTGAATGGTCCTGAGTATACTCGGCACATGTATAGAAAGGGTTGGGCACGTCGCAGGGTAATATTCTTCCTATTCGTCTACTACTTTAGCCTTGATTCGCCAGACCCGAGAAAATACAGAAACTGGGGGTTTTTCACGCGTCGGGCCTGGGAGGCGATACTCGCTCGACACCGTTTCGATACTTTTCTGGGTGCTCGAAATTGTTTCTGGGATGTGGTCCCTAAGCAAGTACGACGGGAGCGACATAGGGTCAGGGGGCGAATCGCTCCCCTGCGATTTTGTGCTTTTTGTTGCTTTGTGTTTTTGTATTTTCTGGTAGTTCGTGCAGGATACTCATGCGTCTGATGCGTCCATCTAAAACCCCCGCCTCATCGAGTCCTCGCGCTCCGCCCCTCCTCCCCCCGACGATGAGATCGATTTTCCATGGCCAAAGCAAAAGAGGGTCCTCGCCGCCGAACCCAGCAACATAACCCTTGCCTTATCCACTCGTTTTCGGCCAACGCCGAGCCGGAATCGATCCGTGGACAAGATGAAGGGGCCCTGGGACACACAAATAAATACACACAAATAACAGGATTCCCAATCTTTTCCTATTTTTTTTTTGATTTTCGTCTTCCCCCCCACTTCCCATATTTTCCGATATCTTCTGGGGAATCGACGATTAATTGTGTCTGTGTGTTTTTTCCCTCCTGACAAGAGGCGGCGTGCCGCCAAGTCGATCGACACGCTGCATCTGCGCGCCGGGCAGCTGGCGGGCCCGTCATCGCTTCCTTACGAGACCTATGCTGCCTCACAACAGCAAGTCGGCCCCTGGCGTTCGTCCTGGGCTCGGTTTCGTGAAGTGACGAATTTCGGGGTCCTTCCGTGGGGGAACAACATCACTTCACTGATCTGGGGCCCCTGGGGCCTCAGCGGGCCCTGGAGCCCAGCATCAGTGACGTGATGGTTCTCGGGCCTCGGGCTCCTGGTCGGAGCAGATTGGCCGAGGAAGCCACGGAGAGGCGGGGAGGAGCAGGCGGAGGCGGGCAGGACGCGCCGTGGCGGGGAGGGCGCGGCGCAGCCCACCGAGAGAACACCCCCGCGCGGAGAGCTGTCCCCTCGGGGCCGAGACGGGCGACGCGTGCGCACTCCGCGCTGCTTCCTCGGGCGCTGGCTTGGGGGGCTGCGAGCGATCGGCCGTTCCCGGAGCGTCCAGATCGTTCCACATTGAGCGAGTCTGGGTCGCCCGCGGCGTTCAAAGCTGAGGGGCAACGATAGGGGGGGACTGGCCTAGGGGGGGAGGCATCGACCTGGAATCGGCGATACATCGCCGATAGATGGGCGATAGGCCTCCGCTCGTGAATCCGCACCTTCCTGGGCAGGTTGGGGCTATCCGAACCCCATCGGCGATCAATGGGCGATTTGGGGTCGATGCATCCCCCCCCTATGCGCCTGCCCCCCCCGATCGTTGCCCCTGAAGAGTTGAACGCCGCGGGCGGGGTCGCCGCCGGTCGACACGACACGAACCTACCGTAAGGTGCTTCCAGCTCGACGCGCAGGGTGCCCTCTGGGAATGCTCCTCCCCCTCCTCCTCCCCCTCCTCCCCTCCTCCTCCCCCTCCCCTCCTCCTCCTCCTCCTCCTCCTCCTCCTCCTCCTCCTCCTCTCCTCCTCCTCCCCCTCCTCCTCCTCCTCCCCTCCCTCCTCCCTCCATCCTCCTCCTCCTCCTCCTCCTCCTCCTCCTCCTCCTCCTCCTCCTCCTCCCTCCTCCTCCTCCTCCTCCTCCTCCTCCTCCTCCTCCTCCCCCTCCTCCTCCTGCTCCTGGGGGGCACCTCGGGCCACGGGGGGGGGAAGAATCTGACGACGCCCAGGCCGCGCGGCGTCCCCCCCCGGGGCGCAGGGCCGCTGTCCGCGACGCGCCGCCGCGGGGAGCCCTTCAGCGTGCCACTGTGGAGGAGGCACCAGGCTGAGGTCGGGCCTGTCCCCCTACAGAAGGATTTTCGACGAAAAATAGAAAGTACTAAAACAATACCCCAACATAGTTAAAACATCGTTTTTTTTTTTTTTTTTTTTTTTTTGTTAAAAAAAAAAAAAACATTTTTGCATGTTTTTTGGGTGCACGCCCGACTTAACACCAAGCCTCAGGACAGAGACGAGGGAGCCACGCGCGGAAGGGCCACCAACGGCGGCGTGCCACCGAGCCCATCCCCGCCCCAGACGCTTCCCCCGAGAGAGCCCCCCGACGTCGTGACTTCTTCGCAGCGTCGACCCCCAGAGGTCTGGACCCCTTCCCTGGGACAGGCTTCTGACGGTGAGGGCCCCGAGAGGCCGAAAATAGCAGAACCCCCCCCGTCGTGACTTTTTCACAGCGCGAGGGGGTCTGGGGAGAGAGCCCCCCCGCCCGCAGCGAGATGGTCTCGCGCGTGCGCCTCCGCCAGGCCGCCGCGGGCCGCGCCGCAGCAGTCGCCTCCTCCTCCTCCCCCTCCCCCTCCTCTCCTCCTCCCCCTCCTCCTCCTCCTCCTCCTCCCCCTCCTCCTCCTCCTCCTCCTCCTCCCCCTCCTCCTCCTCCTCCTCCTCCTCCCCCTCCTCCTCCTCCTCGCTTGCCTGCGAGGGCCACCACTCCCCAAGGGGGCCGGCGACGGGCCGGAGCTCGGCAGGGCGCGCGTGCAGGTCCGAGTCGGGGGGCGCTGGGCCATCGCGGGCGCGGGGGGGGGGCGGCCCCGTCGCTGCCCTCTGTGGCCTCGGATTTTATGCCCTTCGTGGCCCACGCTGGCTTTTCTCACGATTTACTTGGGAGTCGCGTTATCGCTCGAGACACCCTCACGATTCATGCAGGACCCACGCTTCAGCAACCCGCCTGCTCGACCGCTGCCTGGGAGGCCCTCGTCACGAGTCCATGGGTCCATGGCCTGCTCCTGCCCTCCCCTTCCTTCCTGCCGTGGGGGAGGAGGGAGGAGCGTGCGGGGGAAGTGCACCAAGGAAGAAAGCCAGGGGCCGAAGGGAAGAGAGGGGAGGAAGGAGGAAGGGGCCCGAGGGAGAATGGAGGAGGAGGAGGAGGAGGAGGAGGAGGAGGAGGAGGAGGAGGAGGAGGAGGCGGACGAGAACGAGGAGGAGGAGGAGGAGGAAGAGGAGGAGGAGGACGAGGACAAGGAGGAGGGAGGAGGATGAGAAGGAGGAGACGCGCAACACTTGCGGCGACGCCTGCAATGCAGGCGTGGCTGGTCTAGAGGAAGAAACAATATCGAAACATAAGCTTTCGTAGCTCCCCGCGGAATTCTCTTGGACCGGCGCTGGACCCCCCTCCTTGGCGCGCGGAGCGCGTCAGGGGCGGCGCCAAAGGCGTCGCCAGGGGGGGGCCAGTGGAGTCCCAAAAAGTCCGAGCGGATCTCCGACAATTAATGTTTCTGTTTGTTCCATTGATATTCTTCGCATGACCGCAATTGGGGCAGACATACAAAATACATCCCCGTCAGGAATACTGAGATGCTGTGCGGTGCGTCCACCCGGTTTTCCGGTCGGGAGGGGAGGAGGGAGGGGGGGAGGAGGCGGGAGGAAGGGGAAAGGAGGAGGAGGAGAGTAAGAGGAGAGGAGGAGGAGGAGGAGGAGGAGGAGGAGGGAGGAGGAGGAGGAGGGAGGAGGCGGAGGAGGAGGAGGAGGAGGAGGAGGAGGAGGAGGAAAGGAGGAGCCAGCCAGCCATGCCCGGCGGCCCCCATCCAGGCTCCTGGGCCCAGACCTGGCGCAGGCCACACTCCGCAGCCGGTGCGCCCGGGAGCGTGCTCCGAGAGCTGCGCTGCGTGCGCGCGGGCGGCCCAGCGCTGAGGAGCTCGGCGAGTGCCTCCTGCCTCGCCCCTGCGCCACGCCCTCCCCGCCCGCCCCTCCTCCGGCCTCTCCTCCCGCCCCTCCGACCACTGTCCCCGCCCCGCACCGCCCGCTCTGCCCTCAGCCCTCTCCGCCGCCCTGC